TTCTCCATTGATAAGAATGCTGTTTATTGGTCCAGTGGTGAGGATTTTTGTTTTCTTAACATTGAGATGTAATGCAATCAGCTCTGGCCTCTCACAAAGCGACTCCCGCCCCCAGGAAGCCGCTACCAAGCCCCCTCCTTTCCCCCTTCCGCCTAGGCCGCTTTTTAAAAAAAATCAGGGACTAGTCACACCTGATAATATGTCCAAAGTATGAGATATGAAGTCTCGCCATCCTGGCTTCTAAGGAGCATTCTAGCTGTACCAACACAGATTTGTTTGTTCTTCAGGCAGTCCATGGTACCTTTAATATTCTTCCCCTGTATCATAACTCAAATGCATCAATTCTTCTAGATCTTCTTTATTTATTGTCCAAGTTTCACATGCATATGAGGTTACTGAAAATACCAGGGCTTGGGTCTGGAGCACCATAGTCCTCAAACTGACATCTTTGCTCTTGAACACTTTAAAAAGAGGTCTTGTGCAGCAGATTTGCCTAATGCAATACATCGTCTGATTTGGTGACTGCTGCTTCCATGAGTGTTGATAGTTGATCTGAGCAATATGAAGTATCTAACAACTTAAATCTCTTTTTCATTTATCTTGATGTTGTTTATTGGTCCAGTGGTGAGGATTTTTGTTTTCTTTACATTGAGGTACAACACATACCAAAGGGTGTGGTATTTTATCTTCATTCATAAATATTTCAAGTCCTCTTCACTTTCAGCAAGTGAGGCTGTATCATCTGCATATGGCACATTGTTAATGAGTCTTCCTCCAACTCTGATGCTACGTTTTTCTTCATCTAATCCAGTTTATCGAATTATTGCTCAGCATACAAATTAAGTATGGTGAAAGAATATAACCCTGGCACATACCTTTCTTAATTTAAATCATTAAATCTTTCCTTGTTCTGTTTGAACAACTGCCTCTTGATCTACATACAGGTTCCTCATGAGCACATTGCAGTGTTCTGGAATATTCATTCTCCACAATGTTGTTCATAGCTTCTCATGATCCACACAATCAAAAGCCTTTGTCTAGTCAATAAGGCACCTTTCTGGTATTCTCTGCTTTTAGCCAAGATACATTTGATGTCAGCAATTATATTACCTCGTACTACGTCCTTGTCTGAATCTGGCTTGAACCTCTGGCAGTTCCCTGTCAATGTACTGTTGCAGCCATTTTTTAATTGTCTTTACCAAAATTTTACTTCATGTGATATTAATGATACTGTCTAAAGATTTCCACTTTCCATTGGGTCACCACTATTTGGAATGGGAACAAATATGGATCTTTCCCAAGCACTTGGCCAGGTAGCTGTCTTCCAAATGTCTTGGCATAGATAAGTGTCTCCAGTGACGCATTCAATTTGTATTCCATCAATTTCAGAAGCCTTGTTCTTTGCCAGTGCCTTCAATGAACCTTGGATTTCTTTCTTTCAGTATCATTGGCTCTTGAGTATATGCTATCTCTTGAAATAACTGAACATCGATCTTTATTTTTGGTTTATTCCTTCCATCTTTTTTCAATGCTTTCTGTTCATTCACTATAAAGTTTCAATATTGCAGGTTAATGATTGAATTTTTTTTCAGTTTCCTAAGCTTGAGAAATGCTGAGTGTGTTCTTCCCTTGTGATTTTTTAACTGGAGCTCTTTGTACATTTCATTATATTTGACTTTGTCTTCTTGAGCTGACCTTTGAAATTTTCTGTTCAGCTCTTTTATCTTCTCATGTCTTCCATTTGCTTCAGCATCTCTACACTGGAGAGCAAGTTTCAGAACCTCTTCTGACATCCATTTTGGTCTTTTTTTTCTTCCTTGTTTTCTTAACGACCTTTAGCTTGTATTATATTCTTGATGTCATCCCACAACTCTTCTGGTCTTTAGTGCCTAATTAATTAAATCTGTTCTTGAGATGCTCTCTAAATTCAGGCGGGCTATGTTCAAAGTCATATTTTGGCTCTCATGGACTTGCTTTCATTTTCTTTAGCTTCAGCATGGATTTGCATATGAGCAATTGATGGTCTGTTCCACAGTCTGACCCTGGCCTTGTTTTGGCTGATGATATGGAACTTTTCCACTATCTCTTTCTACAGATGTAGTCAATTTGATTTCTATGTATTCTGTCTGGTGAGGTCCATGTGTATAGTCACCTTTTATGTTGTTTTAAAAAGGTATCTGTAATGAAAAAGTTATTGGTCTTATAAAATTCTATCATGTGATCTCCAGCATTGTTTCTATACCAAGGCTATATTTTCTAACTACTGATCCTTCCTCTTTGTTTCCAACTTTTGCATTCCAATCAC